TAGGGAGTTTACATTAGCCTTTTCATTTCCAAATGAAGTTACATTAACCTCTTCATTCCCAAATGGAGTTACATTAACCTTTTCAGCAGTCTAAACCATATACTCCCTTCCCATTCTCCTGCTGTTTCCTAGCTTGTCATTCATTCTTTCCAAAAATCGGGACTTTTTTACGGGACGCAGGACAAACTGTTAAACAGCCGGACGTCTGGTCACCTTATTCTAAAAGTCTAAACTGAGAAAGCCTGCACAGCACCCAGCAAATCGTGTGAGTTGGCATTAACGCCTTCACCAGGTGCTCAGGACATTACCACCCTTGTCCTGGGGCCCTGCAACATGATTGTACCCCACAGGGCTGCTATGAAGGAACACAGAGCCCCTGGGATCCACAAGGAGGAGACAGGACATGAAGCTGGGTAGAGTGGATGCCAGGACTAGGTTCAAGTCCAGATGCAACACGGGCCCAAGATACCCAGACTGGACTCTCCCCAGAGTTGGCTGCCTTTGAGCAAAACGCCAAGAGAATGTGGTCCAAAGTGTGGGGCTCCCTCCACTGCTGCAGACAGATACCTGACTCTCACATGGTAGGTGCAAAGGTCACCTGTGCCAGCCCTTGCAACACATATGACCTCTGCTATTCCTCATATCCTTGGATGATGTTTAAAACTGTTAAGAGCAGTGGCCATCAGAACAGGTGCCCACATGTAAGTACTTGTGTATACCAGCTGCCTATCAATGGCATGTGCCTACCTGCAGGCAGAGAGCATCATACAACTGAACAGGGGACCACCCCCACCTTCTGCAAACAGAGGCCTGTTACTCAGCAGCCCAGAGTTGGGGCCTGGACTCTGGTACTGGGAAGTCTGGGCTGGGCTTGGTGTCTCCCCCAGGTTCCTCTCTATAAACAGTCCCATATCTGCACCTATGCCCTTGGGTATATATAGACAGGCTCATTTGTGCTTCCTATGTTCTCAGAGCAGAGACCCAGACATCAGCTCCCCATGTCATGAAAATGAGGCCAAAGTAGGTCTGTCACCTGGTATGAAAGGAAGAGATCCCCACACTGTTCCTGAGGGCTGTTCACAGAGCCCCTGACCTACCCCGTGTACCACAAGGTCTCACCCTGGGGCAGCGCCTGTGGCTCAAAAGGGTAGGGCGCTGGCCCCATATGCTGGAGGTTGCGGGTTCAAATCCAGCCCCGGCAAAAAAAGAAAAAAAAATTACAAGGTCTCACCCTGGCCCCTCAGTGCCCATAGGTCCCCAAGCTCACCCTGCAGTGTCAACAGAATGTTCATGGCATGGAACACCCATACCTGCCTCCAAGGTGTCCATAGCCCTACCCATCTGTCCCCACAGTGTCCACGGGACTTCCTTTTACCCTGAAGTGTCCACAGGAATCCCCATCTACCTCTGTCACATCCACAGGACCCCACAGCAGACCCGCTATGCGTCCATGGGACCCTGTGTCTATCCCTGGGATGTGTTTACCCCACCAACCGCCCAGAAGTGACCACAGGCCCCATGCCCAGCCCCCCGGTACCCATGACTATACTCACTGCTGAGACCAGTCTTGTTGAGGGCGCTGCCCACACCCCAGAGGGCAGCTGCCATGTAGAGGATCCAGCTGTGTTGCAGGACCCGAGGCACAGGTGCCCAGAAGAAGAGGCAGAGAGTGAGCAGTAGGTGCAGCCCTGCCCCAGCCAAGAGGGGCACAGGGCGTGGCAGCCACAGCCCCAGCAGGCCCAGGACTGAGGCAACTGAGGCACCAAGGCTATAAGCCACAAGAAGGTAGGCCAGCCGTTCCAGCCCCACAGAGCACACACCATAGCCCTGAGGGGTCAGACAAACAAGAACAAACACTGGAGGTCAGACAGCCTGGGCTCTGGTCCTCCCCACATGGACTGTCACTGAGGCCACACCCTGCCCTCTCTGGACCTCCAAGTGCTAACTCCCTCCAAGGCTCATGGGAAGGTTTTGAGGTTGCAATGTGAAAATGCTTGGATTGTGTCCCAAGACACAAGAGCCGTACCCCCCCAACCATGAACCAAATGCTTTATGGCTGTTCTCCCATTTCAACTTCAAAGAGGTTAAAATAACTTGCCCAAAGTAAAGGAAGAATGGGGACAAGACAAGGAAGACAAAGAGGGAGGGGAATGTTTGGAACATGTACATACTTATACGTAATTAAAAATTATTTGTTTATCAGAAATCCAAGTTTTTGTTTTTTTTTTTTTTTTTTGAGACAGAGCCTCAAGCTGTCCCCCTGGGTAGAGTGCCATGGCATTACAGCTCACAGCAACCTCCAACTCCTGGGCTCAAGCGAGTCTCCTGCCTCTGCCTCCCAAGTAGCTGGGACCACAGGCGCCCGCCACAACGCCCGGCTATTTTTTGGTTGCAGCCGTCATTGTTGTTTGGCGGGTCCGGGCTGGGGATTCGAACCCGCCACCTTAGGTGTACATGGCTGGCGCCTTAGCCGGTTGAGCCACAGGCGCCGAGCCCAGAAATCCAAGTTTAACGGGACATTCCGTCTTTTGCTTGGCAACTGTATGCAGGCTGTACTTACCAGGGCGATACCAGTGCAGGCAAAGAGCACCTCAAAGCCGCTGTAAATAAAGAAGGGCACGAGGTGGCGCAAGCGGAAGTCACGCATGTGCTTGAAGGGCAGCTGGAAGATGTTCCCCCAGCCCACGCTGCGCAGATCGATCTCCTCCGTGGGCCGGTAAGCGGCGCCGCACAAACCCAGCACCTGCGGACTCAGCGGTGAAGGAGGCGGCCTGCCAGCCAGACCCGAGGCCCCGCCCCCTGGACTTTCGGCCACGCCCTGCCTCAACCCTCAGCCACGCCCCCAAGCCCAAGGACCCGCCTCTCAGACGTCTAAGCCCTACCCCAGCCCTGCCTTCCAGCCCAAGGCCCCTTCCCAACAGATACACTACAGCCGTATTCTCGTCCCACTACTCCCCCCATGCCTCAATTCTGCCTCCCAGTACCGCCCCGGGTTTGAGCCATACCTTTCAGCCCTTGACCCTGGGTCCTGTTCCCAATCCCCTCACAGGTCTCCATCAGTCCCTTAGGACCTCGCCTCCAGCTCTACCTTGGGGTCCCAGCCTAGTCCCTCTCTCCCAGTCGTCTGGTTCCAACCTCTGTCTCGATCCGCAGGCATCAGCCACGCTTCCGAGCCTCAGGTCCCCTCCCCTGGCTCCTAAGGCCCGCCCAGGGGCCTGAACCTTGCCCAGGCCATGCCTCCAGGGTTCAGTCCAGACCCACATCTCTGGCCTATCCCCATCCGAGCCGCACCAGCAGCATGGCCAGGAAGGCCACCGCCATAAGCACGCTCTCCACCACAATGAGGTTTCGGCTCCGCGGCAGTGTCCTCAGAACCGTCTTGTTGAAGCCGCTGAGAATGCCGTGGCTGTGAGTGCCTGGGAAGGAGGAGGGGAAAGAGGAATTATGTCCACTCGGCCACAGGGAAATGCAGCAACATGGGCAGCGGGAATGGGATGGGGTGGAGGGGGCGGGTCGGTGAATGGAAAGGCAAGGTTCCTTCGGGGAGTAGTTTGCAGGATTAGGACTCATGGGGCTTGGTGTGCCCCAGGAGGGAAACATCTCTCCCTTCCTCTCTCACCCTACTGCCCTGAGGCTGGGGACCCCACCAGTCCACTTCACAACTCCATACTCTCACCCTTTGCTGACTGAGCTGTTGGCCTAGCCCCAAGAGAGATCCCACTGGCAGCCTCAGCCCAGATGGCTCCTCCTCCAGGCAGGCTTACCCACCCTCCCAACATCTCCCCAGGCTAGGTCAGAGGTCCTCCATACTCCTGCATGGTCCTGTGCCTTGCTCACCAGAGTTGTGGGATGCTGGGCTGTCTGCCCTGAACCCTTGGAGTGAGGGCGCAGTACCTGCTGCTGGCTGATAGGGGTGGCTTTGGGGCCCCCTCCTCATCCCCATGAGGACTAACCGCAGCTCTGCACGTTGAACAGCGTGTGATTCAGGTCATACAGGTAGTGATTGAGGAAATAAATCATGGGCAGCTGGGCACAGGCGAAGCTCAGCTATGGACAGAAGGGCAGTCAGGGCCAGATTCAGACACAGGGCCAGGTGGGGGACAATAGCATGGTCTAAGGAGGGGCCTTGGCATAGCCTTGGAGGGACAGGAGCCCTCCCAGTTCTGGGGAGGCCTGGTTAGGAGGGTGCCCAATGAGGATGACTCCCTCCTAGTCAGCACTCTGGACAGGGAGCAGATAAACTACCGTGTTTCCCTGAAAATAAGACCTACCCAAAAAAATAAGCCCTAGCAGGATTTCTATGCATTTGTTAAATATAAGCCCTACCCCATAATAAGACCTAGTGATGGGCATGGCTATGCAGATAGGCTGCATAGCCACGCCAAGCATTCTGTTGCTGAGTGGTAAGGAAGACTGGAATACCTTTTATCTGCCACAACTCCTTTCTCCGAGCCATTCGCACTTGCTAACCTATAACTCCGGTCGCAGGCATCCTATTGCACACATGTGAACGGCTAGGGGAAAGGAGTTCATGCATCACTAGCACCAGCCCCACCAATAAGGTCAGCTCCCCTGTCAGGTTCCAGAAGAAGATGACTTAACTGTATTTGAATAAATGTAGATTGTTGTATTATACTTAATAAAAATAAGACATCCCCTGAAAATAAGCCCTAGTGTGTCTTTTTGAGAAAAAATAAATATAAGACAGTATCTTATTTTCGGGGAAACATGGTAACAGTGGCTATGAGTGAACAAGCCAGAGCTAGCACAAGAAAGGAAGGTGGGGCCTGATGCAGTGGCAGGCATCTATAGTTCCAGCTACTCAGGAGGCTGAGGCAGGAGAATCGCCTGAGCCCAGGAGTTCAAGGCCAGCCTATGCAACATAGTGATCCCAGTCTATTAAAAAGGGATGGAGGCAGGAAGATAGAAGGGGAGAGAGGAATGAAGGAAGGAAGGTGGGATTAGAGGGCTGAGACTGTGAAATGGGCTCCCGTGTGTGTCCTTCCAGGGTCCACATGTACTCACATGGAAGAAGCTATAGAAGATGGCTTGGAAGACCAGGAGATAGGGTGCATGGGAGCCCCGTGGCGGACGCTGCTGAAGCCCCTGCTCATCCTGCTCCTTGTAGTGGGAGTATTCGTAATACTTTTGTGACATCCTGGACCACAGAAGAGAGAAGGCTCTCTCCAACTTGACCTCTGCCACACTGCCACTTCCTGCCCCAAGCTATGAGCTGGCCAGCCCCAGTGTCTCATAGATGAGGAAACTGAAACCCAGAAGGCAGAAGGAGCTCACCCAAAGTCCCCTAGCCAAGGCTGGCAATACACCAGAGGGTTGACCAGGCTCCATGGCCAACCAGGCTCACCTGGTGATGTAGTTGCCCATGGAGGCCCAAAGAGGCACGATGGCCATACCCAGAGCCACAGCCGAGGGCACAAGCGTGTAGTAGCGTTCCCAGTAGTTGGTGGAGACAAAGAGGGCATAGATGCCCACAGCTAGGAACATCATCCACTTGGTGCCAAAAAACCTGTAAACGAAAAGAAAGCTGGCACCATGAACCTACCAGACTGACACCAAATGGGATAACAACTCCAGGTCCCAGCTCAGAAGGCTATGTGAGGTGGGGAGAGAACCCCCGACCCTGGAGTTGAGGGCTCCAAGATGAAGTCTCAGAGATTCAGATTTGCCGAGTGGCCTCAGACAAAACATCATATCCATACCCTCAGTTTTTACAGCTGGAATATGGACACAATGGCCCAAGGGCACATCTAGCCCTCATTTGTGTTCTGGGCTCTTTGACTCTCCCTTTCTTCAAGCTCCTGTGCAGTGACCTTTGGGCCCAGGGACATATCCCAGGGCCATGATCCAGGCTGGGAGAAGAGAGAAGAAAAGGCATCTCTGCTGGGGACCCAAACAGGAGCCCCAGTGCCTCTCCTCCCTGTCCATTTTTCCTTCGGTCAGCTGGGAAGTTTCCTCCTCTCTAGGTCTAGGAAAAGGTCACACAGTGACAGGAAAAAGGGCTTAGTAAGTGATAAGGGCCTAATCACATGGAGACTGATCAGGTGAAAGAACACTGCTGGCATCTTCGGGTCTTAATTTGTGCTCATTAGTTCCTTTGTCTTGACTTTCAGCTCAATCTAAATGACCTGGCTGGCTTGGTGCCTGTGGCACAGTGGTTACCAAGCCAGCCACATACACCAAGGCTGGCAGGTTTGAAGCCAGCCCAGGCCAGCTAAAACAACAATGACAACTACAACAGAAAAACAGCCAGGTGTTGTGGTGGGTGCCTGTAGTCTTAGCTACTTGGGAGGCTGAGGCAAGAGAATCACTTAAGCCTAAGGGTTTGAGGTTGCTGTGAGTTGTGACGCCATGGCACTCTACCAACAGTAAGACTCTGTCTCAATAAATAAATAAATAAATAACCTGGCTTTTCTGATACTTTCTCTTCTGTCACCCAGCCTTGGTGCTCATTATTCTGATCTTACCCCCTACTAAGTAGTTAGGCAGACTCCTCTGGTCTAGTTAGGGAAGGGCAGGTCATAAAAAAATGCACTGTGCATTTTGATGGAGCAAAACAGCAAAAAGTAAGAATGTCAGTAAAAATGCTCATTCAATGCTGGTGAGGACATGGTTTCAAAAAATGACAAATACAGGGCGGCACCTGTGGCTCAAAGGAGTAGGGCGCCAACCTCATATACCAGAGGTGGTGTGTTCAAACCCAGCCCTGGCCAAAAACTGCAAAAAAAAAAAGACAAATATAACCAGCAGTCTATACAGACCTGCATACCCTCTGGAAAAACCAGCCCAGTAGTTTTGGCAGGGGGTGAACAGGTAGGTTTGAGTCACTCTGCTGGGTTCAAACCTTCAGCCCACCAGCTTCTGCTTGTGGAATTTGTAAGGGTTGTTTAACCTCATGGTTTCTTCACTTAAAACATTAGAGCATCAGAGCGGCACATGTGGCTCATTGAGTAGGGCGCTGGCCCCATATACTGAGGGTGGCGGGTTCAAACCCGGCCCCAGCCAAACTGCAACAAAAAATAACCGGGCCTTGTGGTGGGTGCCTGTAGTCCCAGCTACTAGGGAGGCTGAGGCAAGAGGATATCTTAAACCCATGAGTTTGAAGTTGCTGTGAGCTATGACGCCACAGCCCTCTATCCAGGGTGACAGAGTGAGACTCTGTCTTTAAAAAAAAAAAATTAGAGCATCTACCTTGGACTGTTGGGAATGAATTTGCATTTATAAAGCACCCAGCACCCAGGAAGCAAATAAGGGTTTGCTGCCTTTTTTTTTTTTTTTTTTTCGAGACAGAGTCTCACTCCATTGCCCTGGGTAGAGTACAGTGGTGCATCATAGCTCATAGAACCTCAAACTCCTGGGCTTGAGAAATCCTCTTGCCTCAGCCTTCCAAGTAGCTGGGACTACAGGGGCCTGTGATAACGCCCAGCTAGTGTTTTCCTATTTTTAGTAGAGACAGGGTCTTGCTCTTGCTCAGGCTGGTCTCAAACTCCTGAGCTCAAGCAATCCACTCACCTCGGCCTCCCAGAGTGCTGGGCTTACAGGCTTGAGCTGCTGCAATTATTAAAAGTGACAGGTTTCAGGCACCAGTAGTCTCAGTTCCTCAGGAGGCTCAGGCATGAAGATTGCTCAAGCCCAAGAGTTTGAGGTTGCTGTGAGCTATTATGTCAAGCCCTCTACCCAGGGCAACAGAGTGAGACTTTGTCAGAAAGGAAGAAAGAAAGAAAGAGCTAAGCCAGAAAGAACACTACACACACACACTGTGGCGACAGGATGTAAAGGGTATCTATCCCTGCATGCTGGTAGGACAGCAGAAGTAGCCAATTTACTGGAATGATTATCCTTTTTTTGATTTCAGTTATGATGATTCCAATACTTTTTTTTTTTTTGAGACAAAGCCTCAAGCTGTCCCCCTGGGTAGAGTGTCGTGGCTTCACAGCTCACAGCAACCTCCAACTCCTGGGCTCAAGCAAGTCTCCTGCCTCAGTTTCCCAAGTAGCTGGGACCACAGACGCCCACCACAATGCCCGGCTATTTTTTGGTTGCAGCCGTTGTCATTGTTGTTTGGCGGGCCCGGGCTGGATTTGAACCTACCACCTGAGGTATATGTGGCTAGTGCCTTTTCCACTTGAGCCACAGGCGCCAAGCCCCAAAACTATTTTTATAACTGTGATAAAGGAGATTTTTTTAAATGGGGTAACCAACATCCACCCACTTTGTCTCTAGGACCCATCAGGGAGGCTGCTGTGAAGGGGATTTCTGCTCTGGCAGGGAGGCTGTGCCACAAGCCTCCAGGGCTCAGGTCTCCAGACATGCCTCTTGCTGTGAGAAATGCCCTCTGGTCCATTCAGGTCCGCCGGAGTACAAGCAGTCCCTCCACCTCCTGAACCCATTGGCTCTGGGCTGTCGGAGAGGATGTCTCGTGGGTCACAGGCAAGTCAGACAAGGAGGCTGTGGGAATCTGTTGTTCGCCTATGGCTCAGTGAGTAGGGAGCCGGCCCCATATACCAAGGGTGGCGGATTCAAACCCTGCCCGGCCAAACTGCAACAAAAAAATATCTGGGCATTGTGGCAGGGGCCTGTAGTCCCAGCTACTGAGGAGGCTGAGGCAAGAGAATCACCTAAGCCCAGGAATTGGAGGTTGCTGTGAGCTGTGACGCCACAGCATTCTACCAAGGGCTTAAAAAAAAAAATAGCCCAGCATTGTGGCAGGCATCTATAGTCCCAGCTACTTGGGAGGCTGAGGCAAGAGAATCGCCTAAGCCCAACAGCTGGAGGTTGTTGTGAGCTGTGATGTTACAGCACTCTACAGAGAGCGATAAAGTGAGACTCTGTCTCTAAAAAAAACAAAAACAAATGTGTCACGGGAGAAGCTTTTGTTTCCTTCTCCAAACTCAGTTTTCACCCGTTTCGCTCCCACCCTCCCAGGTCACCAAGGCCTCTCCCCAGGTCCTTGTCCCCATGGTTTCAGGGCAGTTGGAGACCTCACGGTCCAACAGCCTCTGCATCCCTTTGAGATGGGGGTGACGGCCCCACCTGATGAGCACTGGGGTGTAGAGCAGGGCTGCGATGGGTGTGACGTTAATGCCCATCAGCATCTTGCTGTCAATGTCGGGCAGCCCCATGTCGCCGTACTTAACCTCGCGGTAAGTCTCATCATAGTGCAGGATCAGCTGCATCTGCAGGAGGCCTGGAGGCAGGGAGCAGGCATGGAGGGAGCAGCCTGGCTGGGGCAGGGTTGGGGGGGCGGGAGCGGCGCAACCAAGCAAAGGCCAGAAAGCAAGCCTCGCGGGGAGCTCCAGTCACCAAAGGGACCCCCGATTCCAATGTCCCTCATGACAGAGGCCACAGGTGTGCCAAACGTTCTGCCACCACCCGCATTGCTCCACCCGCTCCCGGGGCGACCTATGCAGGGGGCCCAGCCCCCCGCCCACCCACGCAGAGGCTGTAGCTGGGACTCGGGGACTCTGCTGTGCCTGCCTCCCTCCGCCCATGGGCTGTGGACCGTCACAGCTGCAGCCTCGAGGGGGGCTGAAGGGGAAGTGCGACGGGAAGCGCGACGGGAAGCGAGGCTGCCGGGCCGAGGTTTCCATTTCCCCGGCCGGCGGGGAGGCCGGCGGGGTGCATACCCAGGTAGACGCCGTAGGTGAGCGCGCCTCCCGCGCTGGCCGCCAGCACGTTCTTGAGCACACCGAGGCGCTTGCGGCGGTAGTAGCGGCGCTCCTCCTCCTCCTCGTTGTAGTTGGGATAGGCGCCCACCAGCTCGTCCAGCTGCGGGCAGACGCCGCTCGCACCCAGCCTCGCTCTGAGGGGGCCCCACGCCCCCACGTTCCCAGCCCCGCCGGGGCACCCTGGCCCCCCCGCCCCTCGCGCCCTCCAGCCCCTTTCCTCACCGGGGCCTCGGGCCCGTCGGGGTCCCCCAGCCGGTCTTCGTCACCCTGTGGCCCCGAGGCCCCCGCCACCGGGTAGAGCGGCGGCTCCATGGCTCGAACCCACGGAGGACTCGAGGCGGCGACAGCGACGACCCCAAGAACCCCTGCGACGGCCCTACACTTCCTCCCTCCGGCTCGCCCCGCCCCGCTCCGCCCCGCAGGCCACCTCCTGTGGGTCGCGTGTGCGCGCGCGCAGAGGAGTGCCGCGCCCGCGCGTGTGTGTGTGTGCACGTGGGGGAGTGCCTGTGTGTGAGTGTGAATGTGCGCGCACGGGAGTGCGGTGTGCGGCCACTGGGATGAGGATAGTTCACCTCTCTTCTCAGCCACTTCCCGGCTGGGTGACTTTGGGAATTAGCTTCACTTCTCTGTGCCTCAGTTTCCTCACCGGTAAAACAAGGACACTCAGCGCTGCTTCCTGGGGCTATGGCAGGACTAGTGAGTTCGTGCAGACCCTTAAGAAGTGCCAGCCCTTAGCTCAGCGGCTAAGGCGCCGGCCACATACACTAGAGCTGGCAAGTTCAATCCAGCCTGAGCCTGCCAAACAACAATGACAACCACAACCAAAAAATAGCCGGGCGTTGTGGTGGGTGCCTGTAGTCCCAGCTACTTGGGAGGCTGAGGCAATAGAATCACCTAAGCCCAAGAGTTTGAGGTTGCTGTGAGATATGACGCCACAGCACTCTACCCAGGGCGACATAGTGAGACTCTTGTCTCAAAAAAAAAAAGAAGTGCCAGCCCTACTTAAGTTCCCCTAAGTCAGCGATTCTCAATGTTCCTAATGCTGCAGCCCTTTAATACAGTTCTTCATGTTGTGGTGACCCCCAACCATAAAATTTTCATTGCTACTTCATAACTGTAATCTTGCTAGCTATGAATCTAATGTAAATATATGATATGCAGGATGTATTTTCATTGGTCTTGACCCAAAGACTGAGAACCGCTGCCTTAAGTATTGCCTTGGTCAGCCCCAGCTCCAGGTTACCCTCCTGCAAGTCATCAAAGAGCCCTGCAGGGGCAGTAGTGGCACCTGCTAAACTTGTAGCTTCAGTTTTGCCATCTGCAAATGGGCTCCAGTTAAGGCCACTGGGAGTTGGGGGTTGTGATGCCTGCTGGACTACAATGGGGGAACCTCACTAGTGCCTGCAGCCTGGTCCAGAGCCTCCTGCATCTGCCCAGCAGGCTCGGGGTCCAGGGCTGCAGCAGGTGCCCACAAGGCCCCCACCCTGTGGAACTGACACTCCATGGCACTGGCTGTCCACCTGGCTGGAAACACATGGGCCTTTTTATAACATCCAGAAAATTGGCTCAGCATCTGTAGCTCAAGAAGCTAAGATGCCAGCCACATACACCAGAGCTGGCGGGTTTGAATCCAGCCTGGGCCCACCAAACAACAATGACAACTACAAGCAAAAAGTAGCCAGGCATTGTGGTGGGCACCTGTAGTCCCAGTTACTTGGGAGGCTGAGGCAAGAGAATTGCTTGAGCCCAGGAGTTGGAGGTTGCTATGAGCTGTGATGTCACAGCACTCTACAGAGGGCAACAGCTTTGAGGCTCTGTCTCAAAAAAAAAAAAAAATCCAGAAAATTAGTTTGCAAAAGCTGGCTATCTAAAACAAAACAAAAATGATACAATATCCTGAAACCATCCAGTTCCCCTCTCACCCTCTGTTCCTACTAGTCTCAGGGAGTGCAGGGTCCCCTTCCTCCTGCTGCTCACAGGGAGTCTCCTTCCCAATCAGTTCTCAAAATAAGAAGCCATCACTTCCCATCTGGTTTCCGTGGTTTAACTGTCCCCCTTGTGACTTCTCACTGTGTACCCCTACCGTAGAGGACTGTGTTGGGCACTTACTAAGTGAGGGGTAAGTGTGACTGGATGGATGGCAAATACCACCCCAAGACTTGCTGGGAAGGCAGAGGGCTGCCAGGGTCAGCCGTGAGAACACACAGGGACCTCAGGCTTCAAGGAGGCGGCATTTTCTCAGGTGCAGACATGAGTAAGGCAGACAGGTGGATTCATGCAGGGACGTGTTTGGCTGTGAGAGATACAGAAAGGGAAGAGCGGCAGGGTCCCAGGCACACGGACAAGGAGGAGGCAGGAGAGCAGGGGTGCCATGTGCCCATTATCAGAGAGTGGACACCAGAGTTCATTACCTTGAGCTGAGTCCAGAGTGTGCCTGAGGTGGGTGGTGTGGCTGCACGGAGTGGGACCCCTGCTCCCTGCTATGGATAGTGTGAAGCAGCGGGTGGACAAGTGGGGATCTGGAGGCTCTTATGGAGGATGGGAGGATGCCAAGAATGAGTCCTTGCCCCTCCCAGGAGTGCACCATCTAAAACCATATTGGAATCAGGGCCTGTGTCAAGTGGAGACCAGCTTCTGTTGTCCTAAAGCCTGTGACCTGCCCTAATCCATTAGCAGCCCTGCTGGAGGCATTTAAGGAAAGAAGTAACTCAGCTCAGGGCTGGCAGAAGAGAACCCAGAGAAAGCCCAGAAGGGAAATGCAGGGGAAGGGTCCCCTGCACCTCTGCCCTTCTCTGGGCATGAGTGTAGGAAGCCCCTGGCTCCCCTTGCACACCTCTCACTGTTTCCTCACCTGTTCCATAGAGAGAAGCATGAATGGAGTTCCAGTGACTGAAAATAGGATGGAGGGGTCGCTGGCAGTGGAAGGAGACCAGGGCAGAACTTTAGGAACAAGAAAGGGTAGCATGACGCCCATAGAAAGAGTTGAGGCTCGGCGCCTGTGGCTCAAGTGGCTAAGGTGCCAGCCACATACACCTGAGCTGGCGGGTTCAAATCCAGCCTGGGCCCGCCAAACAACCACAGCTACAACCAGAAAATAGCCGGGTGTTGTGTCCGGCACCTGTGGTCACAGCTACTTGGGAGGTGGAGGCAGGAGATTCACTTGAGCCCAGGAGTTGGAGGTTGCTGTGAGCTGTGATGCCACGGCACTCTACCCAGGATGACAGCCTGATGCTCTGTCTCAAAAAAAAAAAAAAAAGAAGAAGAAGAAAGAAAGAGAGCTGAGGTGGCCCAGAGACAGGATGGGGCAGATATTTAGTTGTCACCAATTCAAAAAGGGGCAGGTCCACAGAAGTATCAGGGAAGACAGAGGAACCTTCAAAGGGACCTGGAAGCTGCAGCCTAAGCGCTGAGCCCACGGCCTGGCATAGGGGGGCTCAGCCACACACTGTGTGGAGCCCCAGGAAAGGGTTGTGGTTTGCTGTGAAGGCCGCTGGCTGACAGGGCTCCTTCTTCCTCCCAGCAGGCCTTGCTCTGGTTAGACTAGGCCCACCCCCATTGTGGAGGGTACCTGCCTTATGCAAAGTCTACTGACTTTTTTTTTTTTTTTTTTTTTTTGAGACAGAGCCTCAAGCTGTCCCCCTGGGTAGAGTGCCGTGGCATCACATTCACAGCAACCTCCAACTCCTGGG